AATAGACTAAATGTCTGCTTGTAGAACATTTAGCTTAATTCAGGGTGGTGTTATTGATTTGCCAGGGTGTGATTATTGAATTTATCTTTGTGTCTTCAGATCCAGAGGTGCACATTGGGCTGGAGAACCTCCAGCATTTTCCTGCTTTTGGATCTCCACCTCAGAGCGGCTCACAGGTGCAGCTCCCAGAGTTCCTGCTGGGACCTCCGTCTCCTCTGAGCGGCAGCCCTTCATCAGGTAACACTCACCCTCTCTTGCCCTGGCCTCCAGTGGTTAGTCTCCTGTACTTATTGCCTGTTTTTATTTCAGATGGAGTGATGTTTCCTAATCTGAGTGAGCACAGTCCATCTCTGAGCGTAGCCAGTGTGGAAGAGGACTTTCACTGCATGTCCTTCGCTCAGGTTTACTCAGACTGCCTAAAGCACTTTGTTTCATGGTTATAACAAAAAAATTGTCAACTTTGTAGCTTTCATGTGGTGGGAAAATCATTACTAAAATGAAATTGAAACTAATTTTAAATAGAGTAAAAAAACAACGGCATCTTGAGAGTTGTGAGTATCTAAATGTACTATATTTATGTGTGCAGATGCTGAAAGATGGGAAAGCCCGTGTGGATGCCGGGCCTAAAACCACCCCAAAGAAAGGTGAGCATCCTGTCATCTAGGGATGCGCCGATATTTATCGGCCGATTTTTGATTATTTTAAAGCCATCAGCATATCAGAAATGGCATGAAAAGGGCCGATACCGATGGTTTATTAATTAACTGCATGGAGACGAGTTGCATGTCTGTTGCATAATCCAACGTTTTTCTCTGGGCAAAATAATTAAATACTTGCCAAAACAAAATAAAATCTGTCCAAAATATAGTTTGTCAGATGGCATAGTATGGCCATATGCAAAGTGACGCTGACGCATCCGACCAGTGAAATGCCCGCTCTCAGCTGTAAATTCATCATAGGTAAGTCGCAATGGCAATGCACCAGCGTTTCTGTGAACGGAGAAAACGGAATAAAACTATATAGGCTACATAAAAAGGAATATATAGGCCTATACACAAAATATATTTCACTTAAATCATTAACAGATTAACAAAACGAAAGAAAAAAATTGTGCTGAGTTTCGGATAATTGTAACGTGTTCTGAAGTTCACGGGGAAAAAAAACGAGACTGCAGAAAGTAGTTGCCTTTATTTTACAAAAGCTTTACAGTTTTGAATGATGTTTTGCTTCTATCTGTATGACAAACCAGCGTTGGTATGATCTTACCCGTAACAGTTGGGAAAACAATGCAGTGATCACGTCGGTGCCTCGCATGCACATACAACAAATTTTTGCTAATTTGACATCGCAGCCTGTTCATTATCAAAATAAAATACAGTTAAAGAAACGAAAACTTGCACTGCTCAATTTAAATAGTCTGTAGTACAGTCTGTGCCGTTCAGTGTGAGCTGCGCCTCACTGCTGATATAGCCTATATGTGAAGGATGATGTTTTACGTCGATAATGCGAGTGAAGAACAAAGCCTATAGTTTAAATAATAAATAATAGGTTAGCATCCAGATACTGCGCGAATATGGAAACATTTGGATTTGTGCAGAATGAGAGAGGTAGGCTTCAGTTTTGTTTTTAAATTAATTTGTTTTGGCTTGACGCTTATATTTAGCCTAAATACAACTTTAAAGGATTTGTTGTGGAGAGAAGAGAACTAAAATAGCGTAATTGGAACAGTGGAACGCAGGAACCGAAACGTTCATATACCGATTCTACTCGTAGTGAACCAATCCTTTTTTTCCCCTCTCTCTCGTTTTTAAGCCCTGCTTTATGCAATTGACCAATATCGTATCGGTATCGGCCTATAGTTGTTTGTTAAAATCGGTATCGGCCAAAAAAATTCCTATCGGTGCATCCCTACTGTCATCACTTGACTTAACTGTTGGCTCACTGGCTACACTGATTCCTAATAGTGTCATTTAGTAGTGATTTTTAGTGATTTGTATTTTTTTTCCTCTACAGCTGACATGTTCCTGGCCCCTCCTCAGGCAGACAGTGATGGAGAGAGTGACGGCTCTGATCGGGTCCCAGTACCCAGTTTCCAAAACTCCTTCAGTCAGGCCTTTGAGCAGGCTTTGTCACAGCTGGACCATGGAAGTCAAACTCCAGCACAGGCTTTGCCCATCCCTGGTGTGAAAAAGATTCATATTAAAGGAAAACTCCACTATTTTTGAGTTATGTTGGCAGAAGTTAGCCTATTTTCAGGCGCTGCGTAATATCGTTGCCCCCATTGACTTTTTTTCCCATATGGTGGGGTTCATCAGCTCTTTTTTTTTATTATATAAAATTAACACTCTGAAACGGAGCATAAAAGCTGATTTTTAAAAAAAATCACTTTTGTTGTTTGCCATAATGTTTGTTACCCATGTGACCTTTCTTCTCTCTATTTTATAGATGAGAAAGGGGGTAAGAAGAAGAAGAAAAAGCAGAAGCTTCTGTTCAGCACCTCTATGGTTCACACCAAGTAAACGCTGAAGTCCACCCTTCACTCCTGTTTCTACTTTCTGCCTTATTCCTCCCATATGCTTAGGTTTCATTAGGTCCCTCAACAGCAGTTTCCCCTTCTTTTTTTTTGCCCCTGTTGAATGAGACCCTCTCCAGACGTTCAGTGACCTGCAGGAAGTTCAGTAGCTCAGTGATTGTACAAACCATAGACTCAGTATTATAGATCAGACCCACAGTTGTCCAGTGTTTCTTACAGAAGGGACATGTGCTGAAATTAAAGAGCTCTACATCAGGTACATTTGACACGGCGCTGTAGTTTAGAGCTGATGCTCCATTATTATCCAAAATGTGGGTGGAAAAAAATGACATGGTTTTTGGTTATGGGTTGGTTATATATTTTGGGGGGTCCTGAGATAGCAGTCAGCCAGCTGCAGAAATGTCCCTCCATCATATCTAACACATTTGTACTTCAACCATGGTGTTTAAAAATAAATAAAATAAAATTTAGCATTGCTAACAGCAGAAAAAATTGGAAGAACTTGTGGTGAGGATTATATGCATTTGAGTTCTTCCTGTCAAGTACATACACACAGAACTATGCTGATTGTAACACGTTCTTGCTTGGTAATAAGCAGGAAGAAAAACGTGTGGTGGCATTTAAACAAACAAGTTCTGAGCTCTAGTCATGGACTTCAGTCTCTTACCAGCTGTTATCATCTGTCCAGCCTAAGAACTGCCTTTCACAATCAGACACAATAATACGTAAAAAGACATCATTGTTCTGCTGGAAGAGTTTAGTGGGTCTTTTAAGCACTTGACTTTGTTAGAACCTCCAACTCTTAGACAGGATTCAGAGCTGCTCATGTTCAAGTGTTCAGATGTTAGAGGCATCAGAGACCAGCTGACTCCACTGCTTGCTATGTTTTCAGTGAAGAAAATATGTAAAGACAGAGAAAGGCTATGTAAATTGTTGTAGAGGGTTTAATTTTTCTCTTCATTTTCTTTTTTCTGATGAAACCTGCCTGGACAGAACCTGCATATAGACTAAGTTGAATGAATAAAGGATTATTATGCACTGGCATTCTGTTTGTCTTATTTAGAACCGATTTCATTTAACAATTTTAAAGACCATTCACATTTTTGTGAACATTTACATAGAAATATATTATTTTCAGCTTTTTTGATTGTAACCTCATAGATGGCTTTGCAATAAAATGTTAAGTACAGGTTGATATTGATTTGGGTGTTTTCATAGTTTGTGTGATCCCTGTGTTTGCAATTGTTTTGTGGTTTGAGTAAAATCTTTTATAGTAAAATAATTTATAGTTGCTTAATGCTGATTTTGCACGCTCTGACATGTGCGTACAACACTTAAAAAAAAAAAAAAGAGATTAGGTTTTCCATGGCTCATCAGTCTAAATAATTATGGATATAATTAGCTGCCCATTTAACAGAAATTGCATTTAAAGACATAATGGTCATTCTCATTCATCTCAGTGGCTCACTCTTTAAAAATTCTCATCCCTGTGACTTAAGACTTATGTTCTCAATTAACAAAAAAAACAGTTCAAGAGAATTTGCTCATTTAAAATATCACTATTATTCAGTCCTGATTTTTTTGTACTCTTCAGTTCATCCTGCGTTTAAGTGCTATGCAAAACTTAACTCGAACAGTAAAAATGTACACAACTTTTTTTAAACGGACAAATGTACAGACATTTAAAACCGATTCATGTTTTAAAATTGAGTTAAAATAGTAAATCAATACATTTTATTGAAATATATTTAATTTTATAACTTTATTCATCTAAAATTAGTTAAAAACAAAAAGCATTTTAGATGCACATTTTGAATTGAATTTTCAATAATCAACTTTTTTGTTTTTCTTTGTCCTTTTGTCAATGACAAATTACTATGGCATTTCATAAACATTCACACGTATTCTATTCAGTATTCACAGAGACATTTATTCTTAAGGTCAATGATCAACTGGACTTCCAGTTGATAAAGAAAGCATCATGCTCCTTTTGTTTGCCAAAATGCTTTTATTGATTTTTCATTACACATTTCTACAAAATGGGCAGTACACAACTTTTTTTAAACGGACAAATGTACAGACATTTAAAACCGATTCATGGTTTAAAATTGAGTTAAAATAGTAAATCAATACATTTTATTGAAATATATTTAATTTTATAACTTTATTCATCTAAAATTAGTTAAAAACAAAATAAAGCATTTTAGATGCACATTTTGAATTGAATTTTCAATAAATCAACTTTCTTGTTTTTCTTTGTCCTTTTGTCAATGACAAATTACTATGGCATTTCATAAACATTCACACGTATTCTATTCAGTATTCACAGAGACATTTATTCTTAAGGTCAATGATCAACTGGACTTCCAGTTGATAAAGAAAGCATCATGCTCCTTTTGTTTGCCAAAATGCTTTTATTGATTTTTCATTACACATTTCTACAAAATGGGCAGTTATACAATATGCTGTGTTCTCACAGTATTACCAAAGTCACAGATGCAATTCAATATCAATCACTGGCTCGACTTCCCCACCTCCTCTTTCATGTCAGATCAACTGAGAAACTGTAAGGCTACTTTGGTTTGGATAATTCACTTTAAGCTCGTTAAATGCGTATTAGAAACGGGAAACCTGCACAGTACTAAAGAAAAATTGGATAAGATGGTTTTGCGTTGTGAATAAGAGGTGCGTAGCGGTTTTTAAGGACGTGAAGAGATGCATTTATGTAAATCTGGAGCAGCAACAAAAGGATAAAATGGACAGTTCATCATAAAAGGAGCAAAGGTCATGATTTGCCCCAGTTTTACATGAACACACAACGTGTCAGGCGGAGCAGATATGAAAGCCATTAATAGATATATGGCACTAGACGGAAATAATTGAAATAATGAAGGATCAGAAAAATCATTGGACGTGTATTTAAAGCTCCAGGTACTTTGTCGCCATGGCAAGAATTGGGGCGCCTGTTGGGACACCAGGGAAAGGGCCACTGGATCCAGCAATGTCGATGTGGGAGTAAGGCAGAGGTTTGTCCGAGTCCAGTCCATGCTGTGGGACAAACATGCAGATGGTAAATGTATGTATTTTTACAAAAAAAACTTAAGTTTTTAATAAATCCTAAACTAATAATACACCCGCAATGTCGATGTGGGAGTAAGGCAGAGGTTTGTCCGAGTCCAGTCCATGCTGTGGGACAAACATGCAGATGGTAAATGTATGTATTTTTACAAAAAAAAAAACGTACGTTTTTAATAAATCCTAAACTAATAATACACCCAAGTTTGTATTTGTCTACCTTATCCAGTCCAGAAGCCATGATGAGGAAGGCGGCGGGCGTCTGGTGTCCACGTGGTGTGGCGGATGAGGGCAGGTTATTGGACTGCAGGATCTCCTCATACTCAGACTTCCCTTTGTGGAACTCGTAATCCTCCCGACGAATGGTGGACACCTCGAAAAGATCTCCCAGCACCTCTCCCGCTGCCATACAAACCGATTTCACACAAATAAAGCTACATTTATGGAAGGAAAAACAAAGGCTTCTTAGCTCTTCTTACCTTTCTGCCACTGCAGAGCGTTTCCTGAGCGGTGAGCAGCACCGTTATCCATTATGATCTACAGGGACAGATAATAATTATATGTTTGATTTATATAGTGCCTTTCCCAAGCTCAAGGACACCTCACAATGACAATAGCAAATAAACAATCATTTCGTACATAATCACTTAGGTGGACAATTGGCCAAGTCATGCGCGATTGCAGTTGCGTATCGTAATAGTAGTGGAAACAATCACATACTAACAGAGAACCATAACAGTTTAAGAAGAAACACATTATGACCGGTAGTATTGGTTGTACAGATACTTGAGTTTAGACTTAAATTCATGCAGTGTGGTTATTGTCTTAAGAGACAGGGGCAATGAGTTCCAAAGTTTAGGAGCAGTAACAGAGAAAGATCTGCCTCCCATAGATGATAGGCAAAGTCTCGGTATACAAAGAAGGTCACCTCCAGATGATCGAAGTGGTCGAGAGGGAATATAAGGAGAAAGTAAGTCAGAGAGATAAGTAGGAGCAAGACCATAGATTCACTTAAAGATAAGCAGAAGAATTTTGTAAATAATATGAGAGGACACGGGTAGCCAGTGAAGGTTAAATAGAATAGGAGTGATATGAGCAGACCGTTTAGTGCAAGTTAACATTCTCGCAGCAGCATTTTGAATGTATTGCAAAAGGGAGATGGAGCGCACTGGTAGTCCAGAAAAAAAAAAAAAGAGCGTTGCAGTAATCGAGGCAAGATGTGATAAATGCATGTACTAATGATTCAGCATCTTTTGGGCTGACGAAGGAATGGAGTTTGGCAATACGGTAAAGTTGAAAAAAATGCAGCTTTAGAGAGTTTACTAATATAAGCACCTAGGTTTAATGAAGAGTCGAGAATGATACCTAAGTTTTTGACAGTGGCAGACAGAGTACTTGATGTAGCTTCAAAGTCAAGTCTGGGGGCATTAATTATTTTGTTAGAGCTGGGGGACCGAGAAGTACGATTTGAGAAACTGAGAAAATTGGAGTTTAGCCAGGTCTTTTACTCGTTGATGCATGACGATAGAGATGCAGTCTGGTGAATAGAGTCAGGTCGGCAAACTGTATATATCTGAATATCGTCGGCATAGCAATGGTACTGAAAACCATGGCAGGGAATAATTTGTCCGAGGGGCATAATGTACATAATAAATAATAATGGCTCGATAACTGAGCCCTGTTGAACACCCTGTTTGAGTAAGACAGTGGGAGATTTATAGTTCGGCATGGTGATGTAGTACTGTCTGTCTGTCAAATAGGAGGGAAACCAGAATAACGCAGCTCCTGAGATGCAAATCACTGAGAGGTGCAGGAGTAATAATTTATGACAGACAGTCTCAAAAGCTGAGCTGAGATCGAGTAATAAGAGAAAGGAAAGATTGCCAGAATCACCAGAAAGTAGGAGGCCATTAATAACTCTTACTAAAACAGTTTTAGTACTGTGATGCGAGTGAAAACCTGACTGTAATATATCAAACTGATCGTTGATATGAAGATGGAGATGGTCATAATGGAAATGGTTAAAGTACCACTGAAGTGTAATAAACACTGTTTTTTTTCTCAGCCCTCAGAAGAGATGTAGGAGTAAGTTGTTGGAAGTACTTACAGAGTAATGCGGTCCCATGGCTCTGACAGCATGTCCTGTCAGAGTGGCTATAGTGAAGAGATGAGGAGACACTTCCTGCAATGCCTGGAGAAACACACAAGAGCTCTAGATCACCAAAAAGGATAATGTCATATTTAAAATAACTTGTTTTTCATTCCTGTAGCAGATCTAGACAGGTGGAGCTGGGGGAGGTAGAGGGTTTTTGAGGAACTCTGATAGCACACTGCAGGGCCAGCTTACAGCGAACACACAACCAGACTATTTAAATGTTGAGCAAGCAATCTCACTAGTCTGATGTTAGCAGATTGCATGTAATGGACCTAATTGCCAGCATTATCTGGAATTTCATTACTGAAATGATTATTATAATATATAAAATCATTACTAAACTAAACAGACATTTTAAAATTGTTTTCATTAATTGAAACAAAGATAAAATTAAATATACATTTTTGATAAAGCAACACAAATTAATAACTGAAAAATAACAGATAAACAAATAAAAGCAAATTCAAAGTTGAAATTCAAATCAAAATTCCCAATTCTCACAATGAGCAAGTTGCTTATTATCATGCCGATCATTAAAGGGGTCATATGATGTTTCTAAAAAGAACATTATTTTGTGTATTTGGTGTAATGAAATGTGTTTATGCGGTTTAAAGGTTAAAAAAAACATTATTTTCCAGATACTGTACATTATTGTTTCTCCTTTATGCCCCGCCTTTCTGAAACGCGTCGATTTTTACAAAGCTCATCGGTCTGAAAAGCGAGGTGTGCTCTGATTGGCCAGCTATCCAGTGCGTTGTGATTGGCTGAATACCTCAAGCGTGTGACGGAAATGTTACACCCCTCATACTGTGATGCAGTGTCCCGGCCGGAGCGATAAGGAGGGCGTGGACGAGTTTTTATAAAGAATATCTCTTTGGGTTTGAGACTTTAGTCTTTGCAACTTTAGGGATCTTATCTATTCACAAACAGCTTGTAACACTCCAAAGAGAAAGGAAAACTTGAAATGGCATCATATGACCCCCTTTTAACATATCGGCTGTTTATTAGTACTTATAATGCATTTATTCTACATGACCATATTCTACAGCCCTAATCCTGCCCAATACCTAAACTTAACAACTACCTTACTAACTATTAATAAGCAGTAAATTAGGAGTTTACCAAGGCAAAAGTCGTAGTTAATGGTTTGTTAATAGCGAGAATTGGACTTTAAAATAAAGTGTGACCATGTATATGAAGATGTGCTGTTAGGTCCAACATAAGCATCTATGCAAAGCCAACATTATATTTTTACTTATTCATAAAAGTAATGAAATGTGCTGCTCAAACTCAGATGGTCTTTTAAAATGATATTCTGAGCAGGTGCTACACACAAGCAAATGAGATTTTCCTTCATTTCAATGTTTTGGAATCTTAGTTTTTTTTTTTGGGTTCTGTTAAGAGTATATTTTTATATAACAATTTGATTCTGATCTCATGATAGGGCCCATTTAAATCTTGAAATAGTAATGCAGGCTATTTTAGAGTGTATATACCTGCTCCTTCATCTCACACAGCAAGTCCACCATGACCATTCTTCCTTCAGCATCAGTGTTTCCAACTCGGATTCTACGACCAGCACGAGACACTACTAACTCGTCCGCTACATAGCAATCTGCCAAAAAAGTTCAAAATTAAAAAGTGACCCATATTTAGCAAAAGACGCCCAAACTGGTCACCATATGCACACAAAACTGCTTACCAGATCCGACACTGTTTCGCACCATTGCCATTGCACCCACAACCTTCACGTGTTTGGGCTTTAGTTTGGCTAAGATCTAAAAACAAACAAATATACATGGATATTAGACTCTAACATTCTCGTCAGTAAAAAAAAGCAGGTGCATATGTGATCGGTACCTGGAAGAAGCCAGCAACCGCCGCAGATCCACATTTATCTCTGTGCATTCCAGCCATGACTCCTCCGGCCTTGATGTCAGCTCCACCGGTGTCATATGTGATGCCCTGCCACAACATACAATGTTCATATGTACTGGAAACTCTTCTATCCCTGGTGTCCAAGTATAGTTAACCTAAAACCCACCTTGCCAACCACCATGAGGGTCTGTTGAATGGGTCCTTCCCCACAGTACAGCAGCTTGATCACTCGGGCCTGGTGGCGTGGCACAGCTGAAGCACAAACATAATGGATTAGCTATTTTATTTGCAATATATATTATTTATTTCTGTTTTTGGAAAAGTGGCAGCACTGAAAATAAGTTTAGTGTTTGAAATAAAATATCTTACTGTTAGCACAGCGGTTGACCGCAGCCAAACAGGGATACTCCTTCTCCAGAATATTTAAATGACTCACTACCGTCACCTAAGAAAGACATGGAGATGAATGAAGTATGTTGACTCTTACTGAGATGAGATGCTCACGTAGAGACTCACCGTTACAGGAGTATCCTTGAAAACTGCTTGCACATACTCAGCTACACGAGGGGCAGCCATTCGCTCCGGGTCAGAGCCACCGATGTCACGACAGACAAACCTATACCATTCACAAATGATCCCTTTTACCGATTTTTGTACACAATGGATCATAGCAGACACCTGGTTAATCCAAAATCTTTGACCATATGAAATTCCACACAGACTCATACCTGCCGCTCTCCAGAGCAGTGGCCAGCTCAGTAATGGCTTCTCCCTGCGCCCGGTTCTTCGCCCAGACGCCCAGCACAGCCACCTTATGAGGGGACGACTTGTGCTCCCTCACCTCTAAAGGCTGATGACACAGAGAAATAACTAGGTTTTGTGTGTGTTAATTAATTAATATATCCACTTTATTTCAATTAACAAAAATATTTTCTTAATTACATTTTTGGTTTAAAATAACAACACTGAGGAATCATTTTTGTTAAATGGAATAAAGTATATATTAGAGCCGGGCAACAATTAATCGCAATTAATCGCATCCATAAATATTTTCAAAATATATGCTGTATGTGTGTGTATTTATATATACATAATAAATATACACAGTACACATACATATATTAAATAAACAAACTTTTATTTTGGATGCAATTAATCGCTGCCCAGCACTAATATACATATACACACTTCCGTTCAAATGTTTGGGATCAGATTTTTCATATTTTTACCGAAGTTTCTTGTGCTCATCAAGGCTGTATTTATTTGTCCAAAAATACAGAAAAAAACCCTGTTATTTTGTGAAATATTATTGCAATTTAAAATAACAGTTTCTATTTTAATATACTTTAAAATATAATTTATTCCCATGATGCAAAGCTGAATTTTCAGCATTATTACTCCAGTCTTCAGTATCACATGATCCTTCAGAAATCATTCTAATATGCCGATTTATTATCAATGTTGGAAACCGTTGTGCTGCTTAATATTTTTTGGGACCTGTGATACTTTTTTTCAGAATTCTTTGATAAAAAAATTAAAATAAAAAAATAAAGTAAAAAAAAAACAGGGTTTATTCAAAATAGAAATTTTGTGTTACAACATACACTAGTATTTAAAAGTAAAAGTTTGGGGTCAGTAAAGTTTTTCTCTCTCTTTTTTTTTAAAGAAATTAATACTTTTATTCAGCAAGGATGTGTTAAATGGATTAAAAGTGATAGTAAAGACTTATTTTGTTAGAAAAGATTTGTTTCGAATAAATGCTGCTCTTTTTATTCAAAGAAAAAAGTATCACAGGTTCCAAAAAAAATATTAAGCAGCACAACAGTTTCAACACTGAGAATAAATCAGCATATTAGAATGATTTCTGAAGGATCATGTGACACTGAAGACTGGAGTAATGGCTGTTGTAAATTTATCACTGCGTCACAGAAATAAGTTATATTTTAAAGTATATTAAAATAGGAAACCAATATTAGAAATTGCAATAATATTTTAAAATATTACAGTTTTTTCTGTATTTTTGATCAAATAAATACAGCCTTGATGAGCAAAAGAGACTGCATTAAAAACATTAAAAATCTTACTGATCCCAAACTTTTGAACGGTTGTGTATATATATATATATATAAACAGGAATTAAATAAAAAAATGCTTAAGTACAATTTTTAACAGTTTCAGTTTTAGGTATCAATAACAACAAAATAGAAATTATAATAAACATTAAAAATCTTACTGATCCCAAACTTTTGAACGGTTGTGTATATATATATATATATAAACAGGAATTAAATAAAAAAATGCTTAAGTACAATTTTTAACAGTTTCAGTTTTAGGTATCAATAACAACAAAATAGAAATTATAATTAAAAAATGATAATTAAAATATAAAATATATTATATATAATATCATACTATATATAATACCAGCTTTATTTCAATTAACAAAAATATTAAAATGATTTAAAGTATGTAATGAAAAATATAATAAAAAAAATAACCAGATGTGAAATAAAAAGTACTTAAATGCAATTTTCATTTAATTTTAGGTAACAATAACAGCTATATATATATATATATATATATAGAGAGAGAGAGAGAGAGAGAGAGAGAGATTTATATATGGAATTTTGAAGGAAACTGAATTTATATGTAATCATTTGGATGAATGAATGAAATAAAGTGATAATTAAAAATGTACATTACAAAAAAATTATACAAAATTTCTCACCGTGTAGAGAACATGCAGGGCTCCTAGAACAGCCACTAAGGTGCTCTTTGCATAGCTGCTGTGTGGAGGACAAACCAGCAGAGGGTGCAGCATGCCAGCTTTCAGAGCCCTATAACCAAAAAATATATATATATTCAGATCAACATAATAAAACCTCTGGATGAGGAAAAAAAATCCTCTTTAAAGAGAGAAATGTGTCCTAGAAGAACGTGAAGATAGGAAAAGATAATGTTGTTTTGACAGGATGTACATTTATCACTACACATCACACACATCATGCTTGCATAAGCACCTCTTAATGCCTTTAGCAGCAGCGTCACTGAAGCGCCGGACATCATCATAGTCCCGATTCACCGGACCGGTGCAGGCAAACACCAGTCTGTTTCCAGAGAGACCAGGAACCTTGACCACCACCACCTCCTCAGCAACGCAACAGTCCACCTGAATGTGAAAGAGTACAGATGTGTGCAATAAAAAGAAATACATATCAGCAGCAGGGCTGGTCAGGTGTGTGTGGTGTTGAACTCACTGCGCTGTAGTCCTGTAATGGTGCTTTCAAACACTCCAGCTCATCAGGAAGCTGCTCATAACTTTGGCATATCAAGATTATGCCATCAAAACTGTAGAAGATAAGAATAAACAAAATAGCAATATACACTTTTGCTCTAATATACAAACTGTAGAAAAGCTGCAGTAAATCCAAACAGTACTGTAGTGCTTAACAAAAAATAAATAAATCATTTACTGGATCTGTGCTGTTGTTTTTTTAATATAAAATATGCAAACATGGTTAAAACCATATACATTTACTTGTGAAGCAAAATTGGGGAAGATATTAATACTTGTTTTCAGACAATATACTCATATGGCCAGTGTTGTTGTTAACTAGATTTGTTAACTAAAAATAATTACAAATAATTTTCATTAATTTAAATAAAGCTGAAATATAATAAAATATACATATGAGATGAAACAACAACAACAACAACAAAAAGATTAATAATTGTAATTATCTATCAGTTATTTATACATGGCATCAAAATTAAATGTTATAGGTATTATTTACAGAAGTTGTTCCATGTTTTGTGGCATTTTAAAATATTTTCAAAATGTATGTCAAGCCTTAAAGCAGTTGAAAAAAGAAATGGAACAGAAATGTTGCCTTGGCAGCTAACTGAAATAAAATAAGGACTAAACTACATTTGCTAAAATTTAAATGCATATTAATGCAAGTTAAATAGACAAAAAACATATATATAAAGAAACTAATAAAATGGCAAAAGCAAATACCAAAATTAATAAAACTTTAAATTGAAATGAAAAATACATAAAATTAAAGCTAATTCAAAATATTAATAAACACCAAATCAGTATATAAATGGTACTAAAATAAATATAAAAATAAAAGCTAATTCAAAATATTAATTAACATTATAACAGTACATAAATAATACTAAAATAACACTGCCACGGGCAAACTGTTGCTTTTTTATTTTATGTAAATAATATATTAAATGTGTTAGTTTTATGCTTAAAACAGGACAAATGTGTATAAATGTATGTAAATTTACTGGAATATTGGAACAAATTCACATCTAATTGTGAGTTCAGTTTACACAGGGCCACGCTTGAGACAATAAACTCTACTTTTACACATCAGTCATCAGAAAGCAGGCTAAAGTCTAAAGTCTGTGTATTGTTGATTGTAAAGCAGGCAGTTCAGATAACAGAAGTGATGGCTGATTCATAAATAGTCACAGTTCCTGTGATGGTAACGTAATGCTGCCAAGTAGTCCATCATGCTTGAGAGCAGCCATGCACAAGTGAAGCACATCAAGTTCAGAGTTTGAGACAGCGATCTACTAACTTCTGGTCCTTGCAGTCAGTGGTGCACTGGAGAGGCTGGACACTGGAATGAAGGAAAGACAGAGAGAAGATTAAAACCTTTACAAAGCTTATCATGTGTACAGACATGAAAAGCTCTTACAAAATAAGTTGATGTTTAGCTTGACTCATTGCAGCTGCTCTCACTATATCTGATAATGTTTGATTAACATTTGAGTGTCATTTGGCATCTATGAGTAGTGGGGTCCAAAGGACTGAAACTGCGACAAAGAACCACGAATACACTTGTTTCTGAAACATCTAGGAAGAATAAATCACTTGCAGCTTCAGCAACTACAGTTCCTTGTTGCTGACATGGCAAACTGAAATCCTTCTCATGTTTAAAATATTTATTTGTCGTTGTCATATCAGCAAAGAGGAACTGTTTTGCTGAAACTGTTATTTAATTCTACTTCATGAATTTAGAACTCTGGAATGGGTTAATAATAATAATAATAAACCAGTTAAAATTGAACTTTAAGGTTTAATTCTGCTTTCTAAACACTGATAAGAAATCACGAGATTAATCACAAACGATTTGTATAATCGTAGGAAGAAACAAATTTCCACAGAACAACATTTTAATTATCTATTTTAACAGTGACCCTATTGGCCAGTACTGCATAATCTAGCTTTCAGCAATTATTACTTAAAATTACTGCAGTCGCACACACTTAATGCGGTGAGCGCAGAAAACTCAACATAACCACACAAAAATAGCAGCAACAATAAAACTCATTTGAAACTTAACAAATTCTAAATAATCCTCCTACCTTACAGACATCCTCACGCTTCCTTCTGTCGTCTTGCAGAAGCGAAGTCGTGATGTCAGCTGACAGATTTCAAAGACACATCACATGACCACTGGAGTCACGTGATTAATGAAACCGTAGTGTTTTTTCCTCCCCGAACTTTGTAGTGAAATAAAATGCACAGAAATCGTGGAACTAATATATTGATCTATTTCAAATGTGCAATTTTTAAACGTATTTCAATATTTTAACTCACGCGTGTATTTCCTTAAATTACGTCTTTGTCAACAAACAACAAAAAAATTATTTTGTCGTCCCACTAGACTAGACAGTAGACACTTATCACACACGACTGTTTATTACGTTTATATTAGGTTTTATAACAAAAGAAGAGTGTTTATTATATTTCCATGTGTCCCAGTTCATTTTGTCGCAGCTATTAAGTCGTTTAGAACACAAATATATTTCTTTTTAGTAGATAATACAATTAATTTACATCACCCAGCTTTAAAACTATGTATTATAACCATATTTGTTTTGTATGCCATTTGATGAATGGTCGTAAATTATACATTTTTAAATAGTTTTCCCCTAAACAATATTTCTGAACACTTCATCACCGTTAAATCCTCATGAATCCGTGAACAGGTTCAACTCATGCAACAAAAAGATCCGACTCAAAATAACAAATCCGGACGTCAAGTCACATGACAGCGACGACAGAGAGTGCGAACTGTCTCGTATCAAAGTACAAAGATTGTGTCATTTTACTCAGATAACAGTGAGATGTTGCCGCGTGTAACACGTTAAACCTCAGACATATCATTTGTGTAATCTTTATTTGATTTTTTTGTACTGTGCATGATCAAACCTGCTGTTTTTTTGCATCAAGATCAGGTTGGACTGCCACACAGCACTGCAAGACACTGAAAGCAGGGAAAGTAACCTCTTTTCTGCACTGTCTTGCATGATATCTTATTTCTAGCGATAAACATGTTGTCTTAAGCAATCAGTAATTTTATTTTTGTTGAAGTTCTGTTACATAATCAAAAAACCTGCTGAAGCTGGGGTTGGGCTGCTTTGATGCTTTTATCTGAAATAATGCTGCTGCCTTCAGGTGCGATCATGTCAGAAACACACGGAAGGAGCCCAATTAAAAATAAAGAAAATAAAATAAAGAAAATTATTAATATCTATCACATGGTTTGTGTTACACAAAACAAACTATGAATGTCCAGCGATTAACAAGTGTTTTTATGCAAAACAAAGAGGTTGAGATTTGTGTAAAAATATTTTTATTGTAATAGCCTTCGTATAATTACACGTAGGCTACGTCTTATTTACACAGTGCAGATTTGTTAAAGTTGCTCCATGTTTTGTGGCTTTTAAAAGTGTTTTAAGTTCAACTTAAAAAGCTTAAGTCAAATTTAATTTGCTTTTATATATTTCCGCGTTTATTATTTTATTAATAATTCGTTTTTGTTTCAATATTTATTTTTTCTTTCAATGCATGTTTGCTTAGATTTATTGTGTTTAACAATGATAATGCCTGTGTGTTATTTAAAGAGATTTAATAAAGGTTAAAAAACTATGGAGGACCAACCCTGCAGAAAATAAATAAATAAACGTAATAATAGGAAAATAAATGACTTGATAAATCAAATATAGTTTATTGGTAATAAAATTGAATCCTGAATTTATTCATTACCTTTTTTCTTTATTATTTTCTATTACTTTCTCGGTTTTATTTTAAAATTGATTTGAATTCTTTTAAACTTTTATTTACTTATTCTATCTTTTTTTTAAATTATTATATATATATTATTTATTTCTGCAGGTTTGGTCCTCCATAAAAAATAAAAAAACAGTCTATAAGCTGTATTGTACATCACACCTTTCAAAAATACAGTATGCAATTTAAATACAGCAAAATTTAAATATCTTGCACAATCATTCGATATAATTCACTACAGACTTGCTCATTTCTATATAGAGATTATTGATGTATTATTTTATCCATATTATAGATTAGTGCTTCCGCAATGTTTTAAATCAACACATCCCTTCCAGTGTCACGATTCGGCAACTCATGTTCATCTGATTTTCTCTCTCTTAAATATGATTTCACTTCGTCAATGTGCTTGGAATTTGCAAATATGATATTTCCGACTCCACTTGAAGGGCATGTTATTTCTCCTATCGTCTTGCACCTATTGGTCTGTTTGTCCATTTCTCTCTTTCACTGCTGCATGTCGTTTACTAATAGTAGAGAATTCTGGTTAACTCTCAGCTCAGTCTGAGGAGACTCAATGCCGTATTCTCTGCAGGCACCGTCAGAGGCACCGCAAGCTCAGCCGCTATGAGACTCGTCCAGTTCTGCCACAGAGGAGGCGAGGGGGTCGTCAGAGTAGGGGTGGAGCAGGCAGAAGGTCAGGGGGTCATTGATCTGAAAGCCTTCGACCCCTCCATGCCTTCCACTATGAGACAGTTCCTTGAAATGGGGCAAAAGGGAATGGACTGTGCTAAGAGGTGTTAAGAATGCACACTGTAACACAAACCACACAATTGGCCTACAAAAAGGCCTACATACATTTACATGTTATTAGTTAATTATTTAGGCATTCAAGAGTTGTTTTCAAAGATATATTATGGGTAGAACGTGTTATGTTATTGAAAACAGCATTTATTCATCTTTCTCAGGGCTTTGTCCAGTGGTCAGCATGTGGTGGAGCGGTCAGATATCAGGCTGCTGTCCCCAGTGACCGGCCCAGAGAAGGTGGTGTGTGTTGGTATGAATTATAAAGACCACTGCCTAGAGCAAAATGCCCCCATTCCTGAAGAGCCCATCATATTCAGCAAGTTCCCCTCCACCATCACTGGCCCTTCGGATGATATCATTCTACCAGAGGAGAGTCAGGTGAGTTTCAAACTGACAGCTGGTCATCCATCAATGACTCTCCATACTACAGGATAACTACTCTCTATGAGACTGACTCTTGTAGCGCCTGCTGGAATCTGTCACATGCAGATTTCTGTTCAACATGTAGACGTGTCCAACTTTAAAATAATCCCATTTTATTCCAAATTGAATATTGAAAATGGAACAAATGTAATGCATATGTTCACATTGTTTTGGCTCAATTTTCAGGAAGTGGATTGGGAGGTGGAACTTGCCTTTGTGATTGGACGGAAAGGGAAGCACATTAAGGTTGTAAAAGAGTCATTTATATCTCCATCTGTTGACATGTATATTAAAATCAAAATGTTCTGTTAATTGATTGATCAGATTTACTGTATTACACATTACGTGTGTAATTTCAGCAGCAATAGCAGGACAATCATATTTAAGCATGTGAATGAGATGAAATTATAGACAAATGGGAGCAGTCAAAATATGCAATATAACACATTTAACCCTATAAAGCCTACTATACACAAATTTCTAAGGCCTCTGAATTATCAACATGATCAAATCTTGAAAATCTGTTGTACACAATCTGCTACATGCCTTCTGTCATATGATTGACAGTTTATAGTTTTTTTTTCAGCAAGCAAAAGGCCTTTTAGTACAATTGAAAAAACCATCCACTTTCAGGTCGTGGTTCACATGTCTTTTAGCAGTGAAATATTTACTGATTTTTATAAGGTAAACTTAAGAATAACTTTTATATTGTAAGTAATATTTCAAGGTGAACATTTAATGAACTGAAGCAGTTTTATTTGGTGATCCATACATAATTTGTTGGGAAAATCATGTTTAAAATGTATCAAATGATACATCAGGCTTTCAGGAAATGTTTATTTGTACATCTCTCAGTCATCATTGCATTGCATGATATGTTTTGCCCCCCACAATAAAAACTACAAAGCTTTGATTATAAACTAAGCATTTAAATATAATCTTACCTAGACATATTATTGGAAGATATAGAGTGACAACTGATATTTATATGCATTTATGGAATGTCTGCTATACTGTTATGTTACAAGCTATCAGAATTTCTGCAATATAAATATAAGCATCTGCACCAAATTGCATATTGTTACTCAGTTTGGGCCTCTTTCACACTAGCACTTTTGGTGCGCACCCGGGTTCGATTGACGTCAGAGTTCGGTTCTTTGGATGATGTGAACGCTGTCTTCCGAACTCGGTGCGCATCCGCGAACCGTACCCGGGTCCGCTTAAAAAGGTGGTCTGGGGTACGGTTCATGTGAACTCTGGTACGGTTCGCTGCTGATGTGAACGCAATCGTACCAAATCACGGAAGTGAACCGCTATTAATGATGTATTATTTGATAAAAATGTGTGTTTGTGTGTGTTTCACTCACTTTCCTGTCGAGCGTGACTGACGCACTGCAAACAGAGAGCTGTATATCTCATTTCTGTTCGCCTTCAGCCTTCTTTAGAGCATTTGCAAGACAGAAGTAAGTGCCGTTATATACCGAAGCTTTGTAAACAAAACGAACGGTTCACAGACGTAAATATATAAAAGTGCAGAGAGCAATGTTTAGCGGACCCGGGTACGGTTCGTGGGTGCGCACCCGAGTTCGGAAGACCGCGTTCACATCATCCAAACGAACTGAACTCTGACGTCAATCGAACCCGGGTGCGCACCAAAAGTGCTAGTGTGAAAGCACCCTAATAAAACGTGTGGTGGTGTTTGAGCTCCATATTGTCCAATATCATATTATATGACACATATGCAACCTTTTTTTGATTTTGTTTGAAGGCTCAGTAAGCTGCTCCATTTCAAAAGATTTTTCTGACTATTATTTATGCCAGTCAATAAAGACTTGCGTATAATTCAGCGTCCTATTAGCAAAACATTTCTTATGCCATTCCTGTTGGCATTCCCACAAAAACCCGAACTTAATTTATGTCAAATACATTTGTCTATTTGTCTTAGGAAGAGGAGGCCCTTTCCTATGTCGCAGGTTTCACTGTAGCAAACGACGTGAGTGCTCGTGAGTGGCAGATGAAGCGCAATGGAAAGCAGTGGTTGCTGGGGAAAACTTTTGACACGTTTTGTCCACTCGGGCCAGCACTGGTTACCACTGCAGCACTCAAAGGTAAAGTGGAAAATACAAAAAAGTAAGACAGATGTTGTATTTGATAATTAATACTAGCAATAATATTTCTGATCAAACAGATGTTCATAACCTGGGTATCCGCTGTCTGGTGAATGGGGCCGCAGTTCAGGACAGTAACACCAATCAAATGATCTTTCGAACCGAGAAGCTGATTGCCTGGGTTTCACAGTAAGCAAACTCACTCTGGTTTCATTTAGAAAATCATTATGCTCTTCAAGGCTGCATTAATTTGATCAAAAATACAGTAAAAACTGTAATATTGTGAAATATTATTAGAATTTAAAATAACCGTTTTCTATTTTAATATATTGTAAAACTGTATTTTATTCCTGTGATGTAAAGCTGAATTTTCAGCATCATTACTCCAGTCACATGATCCTTCAGAAATCATTCTAATATTCATATTTGCTGGAAAAAAAAAATATAAAAAAAAAATATATATATATTATAGTGACTCCGAGCTTTTGAATGGTATAGTGTATAATGTTACAAAAGCTTTTTATTTCAGATAAATGTTGATCTTTGGATCTTTCTATTCATCAAAGAATCCTAAAAAAATGTACTCAACTGTTTTAAATATTTATAATACTAATACAAATGTTTCTTGAGCAGCAAATCAGCATATTAGAATGATTTCTGAAAGATCATGTGACACTGAAGACTGGAGTAATGATGCTGAAAATTCAGCTTTGATCACAGGAATAAATTACATTTTAAAATCTATTCAAAAAAAAAGCAGTTATTTTAAATAGTAAACATATTTCACAATATTACTGATTTTGCTGTATTGAGGATCAAATAAATGCAGGCTTGGTGAGCAGAAGAAAAAGCACCTTGGTGAGCAGAAGAGAAAGAAAATTCTAAAAAAAAAAAAAAACATGAAAAATCTTACTGTTCAAAAACTTTTGACTGGTAGTGTATGTAATATGTATTAAATTTGATACATTTTCTTCTTAAATTGGTGTTTTTGTGCAGGTTTGTGACTATTTGTCCTGGTGATGTGTTTTTGACTGGAACGCCTCCAGGTGTGGGGGTGTTCAGAAATCCACCTGTGTATCTAAAGGTGAGCTCTTCTATAGGAAAATCAATGTATATTTCAACATGGCGGGGTTAGCGTCACAACCCACAATCACTGCACCTGGCAGGCTGTTAACACCCGCTTAAAGCCTTTCCTGAAACAGTCAGAACAGTGTCACTGACACTGGCACAATGAGAACAGCTGAAATGCAGAACAACACAAGACCAACTGGAATGGTCTTATTGACGCCAGTTTTCACACGAAACTGAAGTTTCAAAAGAAAAGAGGCACATTTAACAGCCACTGGCATCAGTATTTAAGCTTTCTAATTGGCATCGACAGGACTGACAGCAATTCAAGCTGATTTACAGAGGGAATCACAGGGCCGAACAAATCAGTGCAAAGATGCAATTACTGACTTCTTCCAGGTTTTGCCAGTTACCCAGAGTGATCCAATGAGATATAATGAACTACAAACAAATAAGAAAACACAATCAGTCTTTGCAGTGACTATTTCAAATATCAAAAAAGTAATTGCTGAGAGAAAATAATTGCATTTGTAAAATAATTTGTATCAAATATTTAAAGATTATATTGTTTATGTAAGATGTTATATCATTATTAAAGCTACTCTATATAACTATTACTTAAGTGGTTAAAGAAATAATCAAATTAAAATTCCATGCATATCACCAAAGAACCTTGTTTTGCTTGTGGCTTTGGCTCTTCGTTTTTGGTCACATAACATAACTTTTCTCTGTGTACGAATGACGTGATATGCACAAGGAACGACATATTAAATTTCCTGCAAAATCCTTCCTAATAGCTCTAAAATATATATAAAAAAACAAAAACCTTCATTCTTTATTCAGTCAAACAGTGATCCGCCACGCCACGTCATTTACACCAAATATGAGCTTGTTAGAAAATAACTGACTTTAATCCTGGGTGATTAAAAATGCAATTTACACAACAGAAAAGTGTTAGTTCCTTTAGAACACTGTTGCATTTTGAGACTTATGAGTGGCTAAAAATATGTACCATCACATTTAAATTGATCTAGTCCGCTGAGATTTACAAGCAAACGTGCCCCACTGGGTAAAAGCATGTCTTTAAAATGTTAGAGGATCCGTTAACAGAAACTCCACTTCCTCAAATATGATATTAATGTATAACATGTATATTAAATCTGTGTCCCAGTAGATGTAATTGGTTCATTTTCTGTGTAAAAAAAGCAGCCAATTTCCTATCAAATAGTTCTCAAGAGTAGAGTAGTAAAATGTTTTATCCTTTTCATAATGCAGCAGATATTATTTCAACATGTTTGATATTACTGTTGTTTTTACCGAAGGTCAGCATATTGTTTTAATGTGTTTCAGAGGGGAGATGTTGTGGAGTGTCAGACTGACGAGATCGGGTCGATACGGAACGCAGTCGTGTAACAGGAAGATCCTACATTGATTGAAGTGCCACTACTGCATTTATAATTATTTCATACTGACATCATAAAACATGGATTCTTTTTTTAACTGAAGAAAATAAAATAAACATTATGCTCTGGGCCAATTTGAAAAGAAAAACGTTTAGAATGCAGCCTTTTATTCTCATTAGCACTGTGCTTTTCACCATTTAGTTTCAAACTGGGGTTTTCATGCCCAGGGTTCCAGTAGAGGGCATTACTGACCTGTTTATGTTAGCTTTCATTATTTCTTGTCCATTTTATCTGTTCTCAGCTTCAGATAAATAGGTTTGATTCCCAGAAACAAATTTATTTTTGTGCTAAATTACACTGCCATTCAAAATAAGGCGACTATTCAATAAGCAGGATTCGGATTCTTATATTTGGAAAAATCATTCAAATGAATAAAAATCATAAAAAGTCTTAAAAGTTGGACAAAAGGTATGGGACCCCTGAGTTTAATACTAAATCTAATACAATAAAAGCAGGAATTGTAGCCTTTTTTCAAAGTATCTTAAAGTTGTGATGAAAACAACTAGCGACAGATGTTTTCTATCATACTGTGACATACATAAGTATAAGTATGTAACAGATCCATTGGAAGATCCATAAAACTTGGATCCATTGGTCATTGATTGGATCAGTGACCCCTCAAAAACTAATGTAAGCTTTCAGTCAAATGCAAGAAAAGAGCAGGGTTTAAGCAGACTAAATGATTGGAGAAGTCTGGCGTATATCACCAGAGAGAAGTCTGGCGGATCGAGTTTTTGATGAAATTAAGAAATAAAAAACATGGGTGACTCGGTCACAACAAGATCTATAACATACGTTCACAAAATAGATAGGGCGAATTTCCATTTCATGCCAACCTTAAAACAAAGTGATTTTTAAAGGAAAGTGTTAATCAAGTGAATCCCTGAGTGCAGCGGCCAACTGTTATTTCTCAGCCCATCTTGTTTCTTGTAAATCACCCTATTCTTTTCCCATCTCCAGCTTTCACGCTCATCTAGCGGTGTGTGTGTGGCGAGTCTGTGGGTCGATTGTCTGGGTGTCTTTAAAGAGCTTATTCGGCACTTTTGCGCTACAAGCAGCAGCCGTCCGTTAGTCTTTGTGTTTCAGACGAACACGCAAGGCCACTCACTCAAGAATGATGGTTGTGTGTAAATGCACATTTACTCAGGAACTGTTCTCATGTTGCATGGATGGGTGTTTATATATGGGACTGTCAATAGATATATAACAAAGAGTGAAAAATTTAAGGGGGTCTGAATACTTTCCGTACCCACTGTATATATAGAGCCAAAGTCATTTTCAGGGAGTGATAGTGCAGGGCCCGTGTCTCTGTAGCATCCGTCATGATTATTACCCATCAATACTCCATTTAGAGAAAGCCTCCTGAAACTCAACTGGACCACTGGAATCACTGATTCTTGAGACAGAGGAACTGTTTTGGATTGAGGTGATCATTTACATTTTGGGGTAAACATTTTTCTTTTATTTTCCTGGATATTTTTAATAACCAAATGCCAACATATCAAAAGTATTGCATACTCTAATGTATATCTATAATATAGCATTGAAACACTTATGAATTTAGATTACAGGATGGTTTTCAAAAGCTAATTTTTTAGCTCTTTCTGTTGAATTCAGGAAATTGTCAGAAAGTCTTGCAGTGTTAAAAAAATGGCCATCCTCTTTATCACGTGATTAGTGGCAAAGTATAAGAAAATCCAAAACAATTTCTTTGTAATTGAGCAGTATTGATGGAGTTGACATTTCCTCTCACCAGTTACCTAAAATGTAAAAAAAAATACATACATATAAATCTCACTTGAGCATGTGATGACGACGAACTTACAGCAGAGGAAATAAACTGGTAAAGAATGAAGGTGAATTTGACATTGCTTTTTAGATGTTTTTGATTAAAAGGCTGATTTTTTTTCATAAACATCTTAGTGCAGACAAAGTATGAATGTGGCTGTAAAACCTTGAAAATGACATTGATTTTTAATTAGCATTTCCCTCTCGGGAGATGGCACTTCTGTATTGTCATATATTTTGAATGTATATTAAGTATTTTAAAATGTTCTATTATAGATTTTTTCAGAATTTTATAATGTACATTAAGTATTCATCTATGAGTTTTACTTGTAAATAATTATTTAATTTACAGTAAATAATATGCACATTTTAGTGATTATCTTAGATTCATTTTAAAGTGCAACTGTTACTATTTTTAAAACTAAGGACAAGTAAAAGCAAGACCTCTTTTGTTCCATGTCTCAAGAATCAGTTAAATGGTACTTTGGTGTTCAGTGTTTGTGCTAATGGAAGCAGAATATGCATAGTAAGGAAATGTATGTGATAATTCATCTTAATGTTTTAGGTAATGCAGAATGTTTGCATATATATGAACATTCATATGCAGTGATGTGTGGCTAAACTATAAATCAAACCATGACAGAAACACTGCAACTGAGTCAATTATCAGAAACTTGTGTACTGAACCAAGCCCATTACATATTCATTATAGTTAAACAAAAGAATAATGATAAACAACACAAATGAACAAAAAAACTTTTAGCAGCAATTTATCTGCTCTTCATAAACAGAGAACATTATCTAACCATCTGAATAGTCATTATCCAAACAATAACTAAACCAATTCTGGGCTCTCAACAACAAAATCTAACAAAAAAGCAGCCTCAGCATCACGTATATTACAAAAAGCAAGTGCTCTCAGCAAAACAGACGTATAAACACAAAAAAGCATTCATAATTAATGATTTACACTACACTGAAGAACTGAACAGGAATTTGAGAAGTGCTTACTGTTATCATTCCCAGCTGAGACCGACTTCTCTTCCAAACATTTACTTTTCTCTTTCAGTTATACATGAACTGTTTGAAAAACTGCAAGAGTTTCTCTTTGTGAGCACACTGAGAGAAGAGAGGACTGACATCTAGATACACATCTTCTCTCTGCCCGTCCTCAATCAACACCTAAAGCACAGAAACAGAGAAATGCTGTTTAGTCTCCAGAGGCCAAATTAATCTTCCTTTATTACAACACCTGCTACATATTGTTACACTTTACTGTCCTCCGTTTATCTGGCCTTGCACTTTTATTTACAGCTTCTGTATATATATATATATATGTGGGTATGCGTGCATGTATATATATATATATATATATAAATAATAAATCAGGATGTACAGAATCACTTACCCCAAGATCAATGAAGGTACGAAGCACCATTCTCACCAAGTCAATAGATGAGCTCTCTACAGAAGATTCACAGAAACACATCAAAAATATACATTTACATTTAGTCATTTAGCAGACGCTTTTATCCAAAGCGACTTACAAATGAGGACAATGGAAGCAATATACAGGGCTGGAGCGATCACGACACCAGGACTTCAGTACTGAAGTATTATTTAATAATGCTGGAACACAATTTGGTGTGCAGCAACTCTTATAAAACATCAAGGCTCTAGTCTTCAGCAGAGTAAGATTACTCAGTAACTCATAGAAATCCAGCGGGATTAATAATACATTAAAGATAAAGCATCAGCAGCTGAAGTGAAGCTGTCAGCATCTATGAAGGACGTTTAATGGTTAAAACTACTTCATTTATGCTCAAAGATCTTAAGAACCCTTAACATTGCAATCCGATTCACATATTCATGTACATATGTGAATATACACTGTCAATGTTTAATGGGATGTGTTTAACCCTCATCCGTCCCTCCCGAACCTATAACAAAAGTGTCCCTCGCGGGTCAAAATGACCCGAAGGCCAAAAATGACACTAATTTTATTTTTGGTCCAGAAAGTTTATATTGGTCCATTTTTCTGTTTTTTTTATGTAGGTTTTATTTTATTTTTTTTGGTGATTTTTATTTTATTCACATTAAATTCTGGATATCTTTATGAAAATTAGCATATTTCTATAAATTTTTTCACCAAAAAAACAAAAAACAAAGAAAGACACAATTTCTGCATATTTATACTTTAAACATGATAATCTAGTGGTTCTGTGTGTGTGGGTATGTGAGTTTTTTGTGCATTGGGGACATTCTACAGTCTCAGCCCTTTGTTTGGGTATGCATCATTTCTGGATTGTGTCAGATTTTATACAGTAAAAAAAAAAATCTAATAAATAAAAAAAATGCAGTTTTTTCGGACATTATATTCATTCCTATGGCCGGGTCAAAATGACCCCCGAGGGACACTTTTGTACACTCGAATTTTTTTCATGTATTCCCGGTTCAAGTGTGACAAATGTAACAAAGTCTCATACCATAACGATCAACGCTCGATTTTTAAAAAATCTTTAAACATGAGTTTTGGGTCAAAATGACCCGAGGGACGGATGAGTTAATAAAGACATGAAAGATTATAATTGTTGGTGAGTTGTTAGCTAAAGCACATTGTGTTTGTCTATATTTGCGGTTTTGATGAACATCAGATGACATTTTATGGCCAATTAATGGAGAAAACCAACTAATTCCAAAGGTTTCACATTTTTCTTAACCTGTGTGTCAAAAGAATATTTTTGAAGAAATATTTAGTAATTATTTAGTTGCGTTCTAATTGGTTTATTCAATAAACCAACTCATTACCAATAAACCTTTATAATCAGGACGTATTCAATGAATGCTATGTCTGCGTGCTATGCGTGTCCTCATCTTAGCCTACCACCTCCCCAGCACCACCTGTCTATATCTGCTACGGGGATCTTCCTCTCTCTAGCAGCAGCGTAGCAGATGTAATCCGCCAAGACAAAACCTATGCACATTCTATTTACATTAATAAATGTTTTACAATCTATCCCGAGAGTTGTCATGGCCTAAATAAATATGTGCATTCGTACAATGTAAAATATATGTAAACATAAGCATTACGGCAATAATTTTTTAATCCGATTGAGAAAATTCAAGCATTTACATGGTTCATTATTTCCTGTTGACTGTGGTCTACACACCACCCCTTTTAACCTGGTCGAAATTTTATTCAAATGGAGCTCAATCAGATCAATTCAGGTGTTGACATGAAGGCTTTTAGTCAGACGAGCCGTCAATCCAGTTACTA